AGCATCAGCAACAACAATCGCATCAACCGCAGCAATAATAAATTCTTAATTCTAGTATTTAAATTGTATAACGTTGTAAATTTCACGCGATTCACAGACGGTTGACAAATGGCCAGCAAATGCAACAAAAACAACAGCAATTAAGTTCTGAGTAATCAGCAAATGGATTGATCGAGTGTTCCACATGCAGCCGCTAGAGGACGCTGATAGCTGAACTTGATCAGTTCGCGTTTGGATCCAAAATTTCGATATAGATTTTTTAAATCAAAGCTTGAACTTGAGTATGAAATCTTTTTATCGATAGACACCAAATGTAGTATTATATATTTTAATGCCATAATGCCCCTTGATCTGTGAACTCATTTTAAGGGATTATTGTAGCATGTGGCATGTGGCATGTTGTCGTACAAGAAAGGCTCTAAATCAGAAATCAAATAAGTTGACTTACAAATTATGCTAATAATTCAAGTACGATCAAATAATGCTGTATGATAATATCAAATGCTGCCGATAATTGAAACGGTTAATATAATCTCGAAATGCCTAGTTATACAATATTAAAAGTTTTCCGAATCTGGCTCGGTTCGTTGACGAACTCGAGTTGGAATTCGTATTGTGTACGTAGTGTAAAAGCCAATAGATAATTACAAATAATGAGCAAAGAATTACAATTATTGCAACAATGGGTCGAATGTAACGGGCTAATACTTAATAATAACGGACAGTCTCAGCTGGCAACAACAACAACAACGAATGTAGCCAAATCACGATTGTAAGAAATCACCTTTTCTTTTATTACTGTTGTTATTGTTGTTTTCGACTCGACCAACACACAACACGCAAGAAGCACAAATGAAGCCCAATAACAACAAGAATGCAACCGGCCAACATGCCTGATTAATGGATACCCTGTACAAAGAGCTGTGCTTGCACTTGCAAATTTGGTGAAAAGAATTTGAAAAAAAAAAAATGTTCTCAAAAACTACCTTAAAACTGTATTGCAAAACTCTACATAGGAAATTATTAAAAATCTGATATATCGATTTTGAAAAAGATATAAGCCTGAAAATTTGTTTTCTATCCGATTATTCTGATTTCCTGATTCATTTCCAAAGATCGCAGTGAAAATTGATAATATAAAAAATATCAGTCCGAGGCACAGTTCTCATCAAATTTACTTTCAAAGAAATAGTTGTTTCTCGAGTAGCATTTGTATCTATTTGAATCTTAGTATACCCATTAGAGGAGCATGCATTTAATGAGTATACGATACAATAAACGAAAACGAAATCGACGGCAACAAAATAAGTAAAATTAACAATTACATAAAACCTTGGGGCAGAGCTGGTACACATATACATATGTAAATACATACATTTGTACATACAGTCTCGTACATACATAGTATTGCCTGCCTGGGTTAACTGGCTTGGGACTTGGAAACTGTCTTCGCCTTTTGATGCAATAAACAACGACGAACCGAAAAACTGCTCCGAGAAACCAACAGACGATCGACTGAACATCATCAACAACAACAACAACGAGCCCGCCTAGTTGCTTGATTAACCTTCTTTTTAACAACAATATTGTTGTTGTTTATTACTTTTTTTTCGTGTAGTGTGGGTTCAAGGTGCTCTGCATAGGAAATGAACTCGCTGGCAATTACTGCACCCAAACGAAAAAAAAAAAAAACTGTGTGTTGCAAATGCATTGCAATAGCTGCTGAAAGAAAGAAACACTGACTTTCCATCCAAAAGTACAAAATGTATAGCAAATAAGTAGTATAACCATTCTTTCTGCTCAGATTAAAGTTGCTTTCATACATTTTGAACTCCTAATTACGTATAAGTGTATGCAGAAGCATGAAATGAGAAGGCACGTTTTCATGCCATTGTTATTGTTTTTTTTTTTTTTTGTTATTTATGACTCTTGTGACTCCCATGCAAAGCAGAACTTGTGAATTCTGTGAATCAAGACCCGCTTAGTACATATAGCACATATCCTTATACATTTATAAAGCATTTTCATAATTAACGTGATCTGTTGAAAGAATTGTTATTCGGCTTAAAGTGATGTTCAAATTGAAATAATTGGGTTTAGTGAAAAAACGCGGGTTTCAGCTTGAGAAACAAAATTTAAACAAAAATTATGTTGCGTCAGTCTCACTCATCCTGTAAGCACTGTATAAAAATATATAGCCCGTAATCGAACTGAAATGAGCTCAATTCGAATTCTGATGTCTTGAAACCAGTATTTCTTCGTTTTTCCTTTGCATGTTGTTCAAGTTGACTTTTATTGCTATAGTTAGATACATTATTCAGTCGCATTTCACGCTTACACAGAAACTGAAACGTCGATGCGCTTAATTTTGCATATTCGAAATCATGATTTACACAAAAGAGGATTTTTTACATTCCTGAAATGTACTTCCTTCAGTGCATTCTGCTGATGCTGCTTCATAATGAGGAGCTCGAGAGCAGAGAATGCTTTTTTGCATTTGCATTTGCACGTCTTCCAATGATCTGCAAAAGAGTGAGCGAGATGGACGACGAAAAGGGGGTAGAGAGAGCGAAAGAGAGGGACGAAAGAGTGGGGAAGAGAAGGTCGCAAAACCGAAATTTGCATATGCCCTTGCTGCTAACAGGAATTGTGAGCTTGGGCTCGGAGGAGCACTCAAGAGAGCGCAAGAGCGAGAGCGAAACAACAAATTGGGTGGGGGGGATTGGCAGTGGAACGAATGGGAAAAAAAGCAGGAAGACAACTTTCGCTGTTTATGCACAACGGGAAATAAGTGTGTGTGAGTGTGTGTCCATATGAGTGTGGGTGCAAGTACAAGATACAAAAAGCAGCTCAAGAGCATGGGAGGGGGAGTCGTGGTGAACTAAATAATTCGTTTTCGTTTGCTGATTGTTTATGTTTTAACATCAACACGAGAATTCATTTAAATAGTACACAAAAATAAACAAAAGTTCAACATAATTTCAAAAACAGACTTACCAACAGACAACAACAACAAAACAGACGTCGGCTTCAATTGTGCACACACACACTCACACACACACATATATATATATATATATATATATATGCACGCAGAGAGAGCAAATTGGAGCCAGTTGTTGTCGTTGTTTTGGCTGAGGATTAAAAAGCCGATAACTAGATTAAGATAAAGATTAGTGCGAATTCTTAGCCAGTAGCAGCCAATGAAAATTCCCACACACACACACACACGCAATTGAAGAGAGATGGAGAAGAATGCGGCGCAGAGTAGTTTTTTGGGTAGCGCTTCCTCTTCTTCATGTGGCGCGCACGCATAAAAAAACATACACACACACACATCCTAAACAAAGAAGAGAATGTGGAGGAGATGAAGATGATGATGTTCACAATGCTAATGATGATGATGATGACGAGCTTGGCTCTCTTTGCAGCAGCAGCAGCAGCAGTTTCTTCTTCTTCTTCATCATCTTCTGCTCTTGGTAACTATGCATTTTGGTTAAACTTGTTCATTTTCAATGAAATGCACAAGAGAAAGACAAAAAAAAAAATAATAAAAAACATACAGCAACAGCCAAAACAAAAACACAAAAAAAAAGTTTAAAAAAAAAGAAGTGAACTTAAAGTGCGTCTTTCTCAATATGCAAAGTTTGCAAAACTTTGACATTTCATTTCTTTCACGTTGCAGCATTTGTTGTTGTTGTTGCCGCGGTGACACTAGCGTCGGCATCAATGGCTACGACAACGACGACGTCAACGAGCATTAATTGGCGGCGTCGCCTCCAACAACACTTTGGCAAAATTGTGAGCAAATGTTGCCTGCCGCTAGTGTTGCCCCTGTTACCACCCCCTCCCTCCAACCACACACACACGCACACACATACAACCATCACAATTTCAGCATGTTTCATATATTTAGACGCACTTTTTTACTCGCCTTTTTTTCTTGTTGCTTTTTTTTGTTTTTGCTACAAAAGCAAATTTATTTCACACACGCACAACAAATTTCCGATTCCGATTCGGATTCACGCGGGTCGCGGACAGCACACTTGTTTTTGTTGCTGTTGTAAATTAATGCTTTCGTTTTGTGTTATCACATTTGTGTTGAAGCACAGTTAACTTATTTGTTTGCATTTCTGGTGAGTAGTACGAGCGTAAAAAAAAAAAATAACAGAGTATGATTCTTTTTTGTCCGAAATTGCATCCGCTTGGCGAGCGAGCGCTTGAACGTATGAGTTAGGGATGGATACAAATATCGATACAGGAAGACCTGGTAATTACATTGAAACGACGACATACGCCTTCAAGCGATACTTCAAGTTATATCGATATTTAGTTCGGAATAAAAGCAGGGTACGATATATTAATTAGGAGCAATCGGATGTAATCGGATGACCACCTCGCCAATTTTAAAGTTCTTGTGGTACAGTGGGGTAATTTCAACATTTTTCTGGGAAAATCTGACAACAAGTGGTCTTCTCCAGAATAAATATTAAGACCTATTTTCTTTGGATTCAGTGGTATTAATATAATAAATGTATTAAATCGAACTAATTTTTCATAATGTTCTTTGGTTATAATATTACAAGGTTATATTAACACAAGCGTTAAGGCAGTTACAATCGTCACCTGTAAAACGATGTAATCAACAAAACAATGCAAAATATTTCGTGAGTGCTTCTTCTGTTTTGCCCATGTCTTATCGATATATCATTTTTGGATAATCGATGATTGGCAGCACTGTCCAAGAATTCATTTGCTACAATCGATAGCTAGTTAATAGAGAAGGCACCTGCATTCGCATGAATTGATAATTTGACATTATATATGCGTTGCAGAACTGCATATAAACATATAATGTAGCTTTAATTAAGAATCGTAATCGAATCAATATTTGTATGTATGTTATGTGCCTAGGCGAATACTTTATTTTTGAAAGGAAAACAAACTTGTGTAAAATGCACGATATATTGTTATACTATCGATAACAGCGATATTAATTGTACAAATCTCAACCACTAGCTAGACAGCGACATACGAACAGGCCAAAAAAAAACGAAAAGAAAGATGAGAAATATTTGTTGAACAAATTAAGAAAGCATTTGGTCAGCGCAAAATAACCCCTCAAGTGCACGAAATTTGGTCCGGCCGCCAATGGTAGCGTTGAGGTCAACGCCAGTAACAGCATTAAGCCGTTTTGGAAGATGTGCGCAGCGTTCGCATTCGCAGCGATTCATTGCTGGTCGATATAAGCAAACAGCAGGCTGCAAAACATACCCAGGCTAGGCCCAAAACAACAACCGTACGAAACTGAACAGGACATTCGCAACAGTAACAGCGACAGCAGAAGCAACAGCGACCAGAAAGAGGAGCAGCAGGCGATGGCAGCCGCCGTCTCGTCGCCCGATGCACTGCAAGCTTTCAATGTGGCCTTTAGCGAAATTACGCTCGGCGAGGTGAACCCTTTTTTGTTGTTGTTGTTTTTGTGTACCAACAAAAGATAACCACACAGTTTACTTAAACACAATTCTTTCATTGCCACATGTAGAAAGTCGGCCATGGCTCGTTTGGTGTTGTGTCCAAGGCAATGTGGAGCAACAAGCTGGTGGCCGTCAAGGAGTTCTTCGCCAGCGCCGAGCAGAAGGACATTGACAAGGAGGTGAAGCAGTTGTCGCGCGTCAAGCATGACAACATTATTGCACTATACGGCATCTGTTATGCCCAGCAGGCCACATATTTAATCATGGAGTACGCCGAGGGCGGATCCCTGCACAATTTTCTGCATGGCAAAGTGAAGCCCGCGTATAGCTTGGCGCATGCCATGAGCTGGGCGCTCCAGTGTGCCGAGGTGATTCCTTATTCTTCCTTGTCCTTTATCTGAAATGTATAAACTGTTTGAAATGTGCATCATCTCGTGCATAGGGTGTCGCCTACCTGCATGGAATGTCGCCCAAGCCGCTGATCCATCGCGATCTGAAGCCGCTCAATTTGCTGCTGACCAACAAGGGACGCAATTTGAAGATATGTGATTTTGGCACCGTCGCCGATAAGTCAACCATGATGACAAACAATCGCGGCAGCGCTGCCTGGATGGCGCCCGAGGTGAGTACAAAACCAAATGCAAACCCAGTTGAAGTTCTTCAATGTGAGAAACTTTTGTTTAGCTAGATAATTGCAATATATAATTAATGGAAAAGCTGGCAAGTGGTGAACGATATTTGCTTCGAGATAATTGTTAAATCATTATTGGAAACAATCTTCCTTTTGTGCGTAGAACGTTCAGACAGTTAAGGACAGAAGTCCTAAGGCGAAGCTTCACTGTATTTTTGTATTTTAAAATATAAACCGAATCTGGGAAACTAGTCAAAATAATTACACTTTTAGATTCAACAGGTTGGTATGTGGTAGATTAACCCATAACCATAAAAGATTTTTCAATACTTTCAAATATTCTGAATCCATGAAAAATGTGTAGAGACTATGTATCCAGAAGAAGGAAGCATCTTCGATCCCATAAAGTATATATATATGTATATCAGAAGACGAATCGATGTGATGCATGTTCGCCGGTATGAACAGCTTGGTTCAGGTTATATTTCTTGCTTGATTCGAGCATTGAAACTATTTGTTGTAATACTTTCTGCGTTCAACAGGTTTTCGAGGGCTCCAAATACACGGAGAAGTGTGACATTTTCAGCTGGGCGATTGTTCTGTGGGAGGTGCTATCGCGCAAGCCACCATTTATGGATATCGACAATGCGTACACCATTCAGTGGAAGATACACAAGGGTAAGTGATAATATTAGGTGCTGATGATATATTAAAATGGTTATTAATATGGGTGAATTGCAGGTGAGCGACCGCCTTTGCTGGACAATTGTCCCAAGCACATTGAGCAACTGATGACTGCCTGCTGGATGACGGCGCCTGAAGATCGACCCTCAATGCAGTATATTGTTAGCGTGATGAATGAGATTATCAAAGACTATGTTGGCGCCGACAAGCCGCTAGAATATGCGTTTATCAACCAACAAGTGAGGGGCCCACATCAAATACCATTAGCTGAAATACACAATTTCATCCCATATCCAATACAGATTGTGACCAAAGAGAGCGACGGCACGGTGGCCGCGCAATATGATAGTCTAAGTCACAGCTCCAGTGACATGAGCCTTGCGTCCACACAGCTAACACCCACAAATGTGCGTGGAACAGCGACTGAGATTGGCACTGGAACTGGAGTTGGAGCTGGAGCTGGAGTTGGATCTGTGACTGGAACTGGGTCGACCGATACCGAATATACCTCATCAGAGCGAACACCCACCAATTCGGGCCAATTAGACAATAATGGACTGTTCCATATGAGCAGCAGTAATCGGTGGGATGCCATACCCGAAGAGGACAGCGGCGAGAGTCAAAACGCTAGCTTCAATTTGACATCGTCTGCAGAGGCAAGCAAGCGTTTGGAAACCATACGCAACGGAATGATACAAATGGCCAGCAGGCCAATGGAGCAGCTTACCCTCGATGTTGAACCGGTATATACAAATCAAATTTGATTATATATATGTATGTATAACCATACTTACATCTTGTGTGTTTATTGCAGAACGGTTTTGAACTGAATCGCAGCGAGAGCAGCCGCAGCAGTTTGCATGGTGAGTGCCTGTTCGCAACTATTGTCAGCAATGTGGATGATCTCGTTGTCTTCATCTAATTGTCTCTTGTCTGTTGTTGTGCTTATTGAGTGATTCACACGCACATTAGCACACTCTTTTGGATGATCACGATTGTGGCATGGTAATTGTTGTCGTTGTCGTTGTTGTTGTTGTTGTTGCAAATAGCTCTGCGCATTGTCAGCGTTTGTATTCTGTTCGAGTCTCGTCTACCATGTGGCAGCTGTGTGTGGTCGATATGAAGGCATGACGCACCAGCAACAACAGCAACAACAACAGCAACAGCACGCAATAGTTTATTGTATATAAACAATGCGGTTTGCCATCTCGCGCTAACTCGAGTGTTCGTTCCGTTTAATTGCTCGATTCTTTGGTTAATTAGTTGCTGCGTTGTTTTGTATTATTATGCAAAAAGCATTTTGAAAACATTTGCGCCTCAGGCCGCCAAAAACGATATAAATATGCGATGCGCTCATGCAATATGCAGCTAAATAGCAAAAGTCGCCGCATCGCCGAATCGCAGCATCAACAAAATGCCATCTCAACAATGCACACTTGCCAACAAATACCCGCAGCTGATATGCATATGCTGTTGCATACAACAAAATTGCATCCAAATGCTGCGAATATTCTTCTCACCAGCTCGACAAAGGCAGGGCTTGAACGAGACAAGGGACCAGCATAATGTTACTCAGATTGATATTGTTAAAATACATGTGGACATGTTTGCTGTGATTGCATTGATGCATTTCCAACTTGATAAGCTAAAGGCTAAGGCTGTTCAACTGATTTTTCATTTGTAGATTCAAAAGATTCTGAAAAACTTGTGAAACATTTGACCCGTTAGGATCTTTGATAACTGTTTTCAATTCGGGTAAAATCGACATTTCCCCTTTTTACAATTAAGAGTGCAATTGCTGTTTTTCACTTGCTACTACAAATGCTATTTAATTATTTTGTAGATTTTCATTATAATTATCTCAAACTGAGATAAGATCAGCCAGCATTTTGTGTGGCCAAATTGAAGAGGAAAGCGTGTGACTCGACTAAAAAGAGAGTGTATATTGTAGTCAGTTCACTCTTTTCACTAGTTGCACATTGTGCTGCACAATTAACGTATTGTGTACATTGACTGACTGACCAAATGGCTGGCTGTTTGCCTGGCTGGCAATTTCGTTCAGATTTATAGCCATGACATGCACCGTCACCACAGTCGCCTCTTTCGGTCGCATCAGCATAAACACAACACAAAAATATAAGAAATTCATAAAAAAAAAAAAAGAAAGAAAAAAAAATCATCTAATGGCTGCGGCACGCCAGAATAACGCACACACAATTGACGAGGCCGACAGTCGGGTGGCCAAAATCTTTTTTGCCGCCACCACCCCCTCTCTCCCACATCTCGCACCGGCCATCCATGATTCTGCCGTCTCCCGCGCAACCGCATTGACCAATGAGTCATTCAGCAATAATCTCGCTTTTATTTTGATTTCGTACATATATAGTACACATGTATCTCATGCATAGTATACACAAACATATATATATATATATATATATATATATATACCTATATATATATAAATATATATGTAGTACCTTTATATATAGACACATGTACAATACAGCAAAATGAAAAGCCAAAAGAGCTATTTCATTTTAATGGGCACGGGGACAAGAAAAAAGCAAAAAAAAAATACAAAAAAGATTTCAAGCAAAAGATCGTTTTAAAAATTCGCTGCAAAACGACGGAGACGATTCATTTTTGCCATGGCTTGGACACAGACACAGTGTCACATCCTCTAGCCTAAAATTATATTGTGATATACTTGTATGTATTCGTGTGTGTGTGTGTGTGTGTGTGTTAGCCATTGAATGCAGCAGCATCAGCGACCTAGTCACACTGCAATCTTGTCTAAAAGTAAATATTTCTATTTTTTGGGTGGAGGGTTGCGGGCAGCATTGGCATTTATCGCAGGGGAGATTTCCCAACCGCATGCCACCAGCATTATTCATCCCCACATGTGTGCATGTATGTGTGTATGTTTGTATGTATGTATGTATGTATGTATGTATGTATGTTTGTATGTATGTATGTGCGATCAGCAAATGCTCATCAGCAGCTCGATATGGTAATGTTTTTGGGGTCGTCGTCGTAGGGAGCCAACACTTCTATATTGATGATGATATACAAATACACATACATACATAGATGAATTTTCTATGTGCCTGTGCCTGTACTTATGTGTGTGTGTGTGAGTATGCCCCACTCTCCTAGTTTTTGTGCTCGTCATCTCGACGAATTTGCTGCGACTGTGGTGTGGTTGCTGTTGCCGCCGCTGCTTCTGCTGCTGTTGCTGTTGCTGCTGCTGCTGCTGTTGCTTCCTCTTGCCACTGCTCTTCGACAGCGGCACGATGTGATCCCAAAATTTGCTCAGTCTACGTTTGAGAGCCGTGCCGTCCTGAGTGCCGCAATGTTACTGCAATTTCTGACAACGCAACGCGCCAAAGATCGTCGTCAATTGTTGTCAACGCCGGCTGTTTAATCTAACCACGTCCCGCCCCCTAACGCCTCCCGACCACGCCCGATCCCCCAACCCCATATTCAATTTTTACACATTCAAAATTCTCTGAAACGTCCATTTGTGCTGTGAAATTTAAAAAAAAAAAAAAGCGCAAAGAAAAGAAAGAAGAAAAGCAAACAACAAATAAACATTGGGGCAGCAAAAAAACAAAAAAAAGAAGGAAAGAAAAGTGGGAGGGAGAGAGGGAGGAAGACAAAAAGACAAAATTCGTTTGAAAATGTTTGCTTTGCGTCTCTGTTGATAGTTGATAGTTTGTTTTTCCAACATTTCCCCCAAGCAAGAAAATACCTACGTCATCAGAGCAAGGGTGGAAAATAGAGAGAGAGAGAGAGAGAGAATCATTTGCTTGCTCATCGCATTCTCTCTTTTAATACATATATATATATATATTCACCCAACCCTTACTGAACTCAACTGATGAACCCATTGAAAATGATCCCGTCTCACACATAACTGGTTGGCGTGCATCGATTATCAGCTCAAATAGTGCAAAGCGAATCCAAGCAGCACTCGATCAACATGTGCGACACACGCGCCTTGATCACCACAAAGCAGACCAGCGATCTCCACAGTTGCTGGATCATCTATAGTATGTGTCATAAATCACCGGGCATTTTTTTGCTCCCATTTCCACCTGCCCGAAAAAGAAAAAAGCATTAACATAAATTGCATTTGTTTTCTGTCTAATGTTTTGTTGCAGCCAAAACTGATGGCCGGGAACGTTTGACAGTGACGGACACGAAGCCGGTGATCATGACCAGTGGCAGCTGTGCCACCAACAACAGCAACAACACCACAGACCTCACTAACAACAATAACAATTATAATATTAACAGTAATAACAATGAACTCAATACAAATGGACTGCTTAGCCAAGCCCCCAATGCCAATGAAACGAACGATTGCATCGATGCACGCATCGATGAGGACACGGATGCGGATGTGGATGCTAACTGTGGCTGCACCGAGCAATCACTGGCAGAGATATTAGATCCAGAGCTGCAGCCAGAGCCGCCCATACCAAACAATGCGGAATCGCAGGCGATTTATCGGGATCATCGGCACATGGCCAAGGAGTATCTCAGCGTCGACACAAACCTCTACTACGCGCAGGACTTCAAGGAGAAGCTAATACTGCAAATGGATCGCATCGAGCGCGATCAAAAACAGGAGCTCTTGCGCAAAATTAAAGACAAGGTGCGAATGTTTAAACATGATCTGGATTCTGATCGACGAACTAAGTCGATTGATCGATCATGCTTTTAACTGATTCTGTTGTTGTTTTACTGTTTATACGAAAGTTTCTCACTTCTCATCCATCTCCATCTCTTCTGTACAGGAGGGCCTGCAAAGCCTCTACAATAATCTGCAGCAGCAGTGGGAGAAGCTGCCGGCTGCCCGCCAGCCAAATCTTCATGGTGGTCGCCTGCAGCCATCGGTTGGGGTTGTTGGCAATAATAGTCACCACAGCAGTAGTCAGGAGCTGACTGGTGGCATCAGCAGCGGTGACTCTGTGGAGAATGATGGCTGGGTCGTTATAGCACCGCATCACAATACGTAGCTCGGATTTGAGGCAGTTTCTGTGGAATCAATGTGTAACCAACCAACCAGTAGCTGTGTATTTCTATCTGTATTTGTTTAACTTATAATCGTAATTTGTAATTATTAATTTTTAGCTATACTCTGTAATTGTTTAAGTTAAGGTTCATTGCGTTTTGACATTTAGAATGGATCTAGATGTTTTAGCGTGTAGTTTTAGCCATGTTGCTTGTTTCTGTGTACCTTATAAGCATTCTGACACTTGACACTTAAGATTTTATTGCTACGTGCTATGTATTTAATATGAACATAGTGTATGTGTATGTATATGTGCATCGATATTGAGAGGTATTGATGTGACAACAAACGTTTACCAAAAATATATAAAAGTATCTGCCATCGATTCGTGTCCGCAACGAATCCATGGCAAATCTCGAACAAATACAAACGGTGTTTTTATCTATTTATACAATCGGAGGCCCAGTTTTCTTCAAATTGTAACTATAGGAAAATAATAACATGCAACACGCATTGATATTTTATCTCTTTTTTATTTGTATTATGTTTTCTACACATGGACATCTGTATTAATTAGGTGTGAAAACGCTTGTATGAAGTTTAATTTGATGGTGGCTGGTTGTGTTTACCTTTGTAGCTGCTGTGTTCAGTCAGTCAGCTCAAATTGTCTTATACATACATGGTATACCAAGATCATATCTTATACTTTATAGATATAGACATCTAATAGTAGTTTACTAAAACAAAAAATTTGTTTAATTTTTATTGTAAATCGTTTTCTAAGTATTTTTGCTAAGTGTTACATATTCGAACGTTTGACCGGCTTTTAACAATTGTTTGCTGTTGGCCTTGCTTGGCACGTTTATTCACTGTACAATAGTAACATGGGGGCAGGGGACAGCACTTTAAGGCTAATCACAAGCATAGATGGGGGGACATTTCTATAAATATATCTTTTTTTTGCATTGCATTTTTTTTCTTTGTTTTTTGTATTGTTTTTATCTATGTAAATGATATGAGAGAGTTCGCTTAAATTCGTTGGAGAAGCCGAACTTTTTGGGCCTTTTTTCGTTGCTAGGGATCAAAGCTGGGCACATAGATGGCGGCACAGGTGGACTCCCAGACATCGTTGGGCGTATCCCACGAGTCCTTGCGATGCCACCAGTCGCCCGTGTCCAGATCATACGCCATCGTCTCCGAACTGGCACGATCAATCGATTCGGTTGAATCAAGGCCACCCACAAAAAAAATGGTTCGTCGCATTGAGGTGACGCCCGAATAGAATTTGGGCGCTGGTATTTTTGTTTCCACACTCCACGTATTCGTCTTAATGTCATACGCATAGATGTGCTCCACGAGCACACGAGATTCCCTAAGTGTCTCATGCCAGCCACCGCATGCATAGATGTGATTGTCAATGGACACCAGGACATGGTCACAGCATGGAGTCGGCATCGGCGCCAGTTCCAGCCAGCGTTCGCTCTTTGTATCGAAACACCACATGCTGGACAATATGTTTGCCAGGTGTATGCCACCTGTTGGATGAGCCGAGAGAGAAAGTGTTTTAATAATCATTCACAATAAATAATAAATGGAGAAGCGTCACCATATATCTCTGCTTTTATCAATATTATTTTTGTTACAGCATTTAAATTGATTAAAATTCATGCACAGGCTTTTTACGATCAACAGCTTTAAAACCTTTCATATAAAATCTCTTTTTTAACAGATTGCTTGGCTAAGTGAAACTACGGCGATCAATAATTACGTAAAGCTTCATTTCGGCCATGCTTTAGTTTAGCGAGCTAATCGCTTAATTGATATTCATTAAAAAATCTAATTATAATATTAAAGAAAGTCAAGAGCGGTTCGACATGCAGTGATTTGTGTGACACATCACAAAATGTTAATTTACCGGATATGTAGAGCTTGTCGCCGACAACGACGCCGGCATGCTGGCTGCGATTCTCCTGCAGGCTTGGCATATAGGTCCACGAATTGTTGGCCAGATCGTAGCGCTCCACATTGGAGATGCGACGTAGTGCCTCCTCGGAGTTATCGTCATGCTCAACGATGCCACCGACGGCATACAAATGTTTCTTGCCAACCGCATTGAGTGAGAAGCGGCAGCGATCTAGCTGTATGCGTGCAATGGTCACCCAGGAGTCACGCAGCGGGCAATAACGAAAACCAAATGGATGAATGTACTCCTTGAGGCAGACATCGTAAGCACCTCCCACAATGAACAGCTCATTATTGAGAACGGCCGTACCGAAATTGCCTGCAAGCAACGTACAATTAAATTAGGAACAGGCAAAGATTGTATTCTGTTGTTGTTGCTTACATTGATCTATGTGCGGTATGGAGGTCAACTCGTACCACTTCATTTTGGTGGGAGAGAAGCACATAATCTCATTGGTCAGACCTTTCCATTCGAAGCCACCGATTTTTAATAGACTCAGCTCCATGCCGCGCATATTGGTGGGTCCTTGGTCCTGTACGCCCTGCTCGAGCGCCACTAAGCTGGTGCCATCACCCTTGGTGTTCTTCTGAAGCTTGGCCAGGCACTCCTCGACCAGCGAGTAGTTGAGATGACGCAATGACTTCAGATCCTCACAGCTAACATACTGCCATTTAATTAGGCGTAACAGTTCGCGCAATGAACCATCCTCGAGCTGCTGATCGTTGCCATACGTGCAGAGCAGGCTCACCAGCTCCAGTTCGCTGACATCGATCGGATAATTGCTGGACAGAATATAGTGCAGTTGCTCCAGCTTAACGTCCTTGAAATCACCGCTGGCGGCAAACTCCTTGAAATGTGCGCATATATACCGATATGCACGCTCCGCCAACGCCAGCTGGCCATAAATTTCCGCCATGCTGGCAATGGCCAAACAGTTTTCCATACTAATCTTTTGCTCGAGAAACACGGTGCAGCGTTCGATTACCTCTTTGACCTGGACATGCGTGGCCGCCGCTAGCGTCTCCTCGACATTATCGATATTCAGCTCCAGCAGCGATGTGTATATATAGATGATAATGCGGCTCATCGCTCGCGCCGTAACGCCATATAGTGTGATCTCCTCCTTGCGTGACTCGATCATGGCACAATCCGCGAACATGGCGCAAAAATAATCGCTACTCGCCGCCAGCACAACCCGATGGGCCTGTTGTCCGCATATGTAAATACATAATTGGCAATTATAATTTATTGATTTGGGGGACTGTTGTACGCACCTTGAAGCGATGCTCGTCCACGATGAGCGTCACGTCTGTCAGTTTGCCCTGGGAGCGCAGCTTGTTCAGGCCACGCAACAGATTCTTCTCACCAGCACCAGATGGCACTGCCACGGCCGCAGACATATCGACGGACAGCTTTCGCGTTATCAGTGCAAAGGCGCTTATGCCCACTGTGTCAGCAACTGTTGTCCCACTGTCAAAGACCTTACCCTTACTCAATGTGTGATGTTGATGATGATGATGTTGATGACGCTCTGGCTACGAAATCATGCCCGCCCCCCGCTTTGGTTAAGCGATAACGAAAACAGTGCTTTGAGCGCATACACACACGCACTCAAACACGACACACACGCACACACACACTCAAACACGACACACACGCTCACACACACTCAAACACGACACACACGCGCAAGCGATAAATCAATGAATTACTTGTTGATAGCTGATTGTAGTTGAATTTTAGTGTTTACAATATGCGCGAACAGCTGTTGCCTTAAGTATATTTCTGTAAATTGTGGCCACACAAACACAGATGAATGTGAATGTTATTTATATGCATATATATATATATTTATGTATATATTATATATATATATATATAATATAATATAATAATATATAATGTATATTACAAATGTACAATTAAAAAAAGCAGCACTTTGATATAACTAACCACATTTGAATATATTTGAATTGAAGCAATTCGCTTTTCTCTCTGTTTGCAACAATTTTGTGTGTGGTTACAATGTCTTCATGTTGAAAGAAAGTGTGCGTATGTTTGTGTGTGTGTGTATGTCAGCTTGTATGTGTGCATGGCTAACTGTGTATATATCAATAGTTTTTCGGTGCTGGATAACGCTTTGCAGCTGCGGTGAATTGTAAACACCTGTACGTGTTGTGCACTGCGTGTCGTTATCCAACACATCATACATTTTCGTTATTATTTGAACTGAAACCGATAAAGACGATAAAAAAAGCTCTACGGTTGATTTTGTCACTGTTAAGCTTTCCATTTCATTCCGTTGGCTTGCGCTTTTACTTATCATGAACACATAAGTGAAAATAAAGCTTATTTCATCAATACATTAATAGATATCGCTTCTAACATAAGTCAAAACTGAAGCTATTTGTAAGCTTTCGTAGTAGCGCAGGGTTGAGTGATTCAAAAAGAACATCCTCTAGCGATCCTTTCATAAAAGATAGTGGACATGCTTTTCCTCATATTGGGCATACTGTTTGTTGCAGTCAGTATTTTTCCGATAATTTTCGGTCCATCACTAATTTGTCCATTTGACATTCACTGCGAAAACTGCAAGCTATCCAAATTGAATTTGTAAATTTGGCCGACAAACAGGCAAGTAGGCTTAAATGTTTTTACTATTATTTATGTAGCTTGTCTTCTGATTGTTCATTGGGCTCTACACTTAAACTAGACTCAAAGCTTAAAGCGCATATTGTGCTAAAGCTTTTCCTATTGACTTGGGTGAAACAACAGCAAGAAGCTGGTTTTTACCGTTTTTATATTTTTTTTTTTGTTAGCAGGCTCTGCGATTTAAATGATGAAATTCTTCAAACACATATATTTCATCATATTTTAAACATAGTTCATCGCAGAATTGTGAATATTATATTATCCAAGTACAAATTTTCAGAAATATAGCAAGAGAGAGATTTTTGTTTGGGTCACTAGCCCGCCACGAGGGAAGTCAAGAATCAAAACTTCATTCTAAAGCACAACGAAGCAATACTCAAAGAACAAAGAACAAGGAACAATGATGACACACCCTTTAATTACCTGGGCATCGGTGGTTGCCCACGAACTGCCATCAAATGAATCTCGACCGAAACCAGTCTTGACACAAGCACCAATTGCGTCACCAGTACCAACACCAATTGCAACACCATCGGTATCTCCAATGGATAATGCTGTGCCGACTGTGTTTCAGGAACCAAATCCTCAACCTAAAAATCGACAACGAAGCTATCGACCAAATCGCTCTAGTGTCTACCGGTTGTACCAACAATTTCCGCCCCCAATGGGCTGGCAGACACTAGGTCGCCCACCACCACCATTATTAGCTGGACCTGTTTACAACTTACCGTCGCAACGGACAATCGAACTCCAGAATATGATTTGGGATAGGGAACAGCAACAGCGGCGACTATTTAGGCCACCATTGTTGGCTTACCAGGATGCAACAGTCGGGCAGGAGGAACCAAAGTACGATACGGGCATCCAACAGGAGCGCGATGCTTACGCTGAGACACAGTGGCAGCCACTGAAATACTCTCGTCAAGTGTGGGATCCACTGGACATGAGCCAACGCAGCCAAGATCCTACCCGTCTGATTGGTGAGTAGACGAAAATACTCTTTTAATATTTCTTCGAAATTTCAATTGCAGGACCACCGCCTCCGGGCTTTGATCATGTGTTCTGCGGCAAGCGATCCTTGTCGATTCGCTCTCGCCATCTGCTCGGCGAGCAGGTGAAAAGTGGTCCACCCACCGCATATCCAACACCACAACCAATGTTGACCACAGAGGAGGATCTGCGTGAACAGCATCATTTCTTAGGTGAGAGGCGTCATCCGATGATCCGCTTGCTTAACTTTTATACTATCTTGATCTTATTTGCCATTTTGTCGTACATATATATATATATATATTCTTGAACAACATCGATAGATCCATCTGTCTGTCTGTCTAAAGCTAATGAAATATATATAGTTTATCTAGTTTGTTGATATATCACTTTCGACTAGAAAATCACTCTTAACTGTTTCAATCACTCACGATTCCGCAGCTGACAAAGACACACATTTAGTTAATCTTCTGGGCCAAGTGAGGGTCAGCAACGGTGGCACCGGAGATGGCCATTATGTTCGCGCAGTGCGCAAGTTGTTGCCAATGGCTGAGAGTATGTCACCAACTGGTTGTAGTATCAACTTTTTGGAAATGATGCGTCGCAATCAAAACAATCAAGCAAGACCATGTATTCAAAATCAGAATCAAAATCAAAATGAGAATACTCTCGTGACGGACAAAGACCAGGTACCAAATATGACAATGGATGATACTCCATGTCCAAAAGGTTCGCTAGACTAAAGCTAAGCCTATTCATATTAACAAATCAAAAGAAAATTAATTCTTAATAAATTTAGAGAATGTTGTCAAACAAATGTTTGACAATATTTTTACTACACCTATTGCATTTCATTTTCACAGATTAAACATTTTTCATACACAATTATGCATTAATATTCAATGTAGAGTTAAAGTGTAGGTAAAACCAGAAAACGAACTCGGTCCATTTCACAGTAATGAAAGTTTATTAAATACTTATGTATTGTTGTCAAAGTGTAAGTGAAGATGCCCGTGATGGTGTCGAGTTTTTTTTACATTCATTTAAATGCACAATTAAAATAAAAGCTTGTAGAAAACAAAAACTTAGTTTTTGTATCTGTACTGAAAGTCACTTGAAATACTGTTTTTATTTCAAAACGCAGACATTTTCAAGTGCAGAGCGACAAAGTAAGACAGTGAAATAAAATAAATTAAAATAAGTGTCGAAGCTAAGGCAGCAAAAAAAAACCAAAGGACTACAAATAGGAAAAACAGAAACATAAAATAGAAAACAGTCATATGTGGAGTTCATATGTGTATGTCGGCTTGTGTGTGTGCTTGGCTAACTGTGTATATATCAATAGTTTTTCGGTGCTAGATAACGCTTTGCAGCTGCGGTGAATTGTAAACACCTGTACGTGTTGTGCACTGCGTGTCGTTATCCAACACATCATACATTTTCGTTATTATTTGAACTGAAACCGATAAAGACGATAAAAAAAAGCTCTACGGTTGATTTTGTCACTGTTAAGCTTTCCATTTCATTCCGTTGGCTTGCGCTTTTACTTATCATGAACACATAAGTGAAAATAAAGCTTATTTCATCAATACATTAATAGATATCGCTTCTAACATAAGTCAAAACTGAAGCTATTTGTAAGCTTTCGTAGTAGCGCAGGGTTGAGTGATTCAAAAAGAACATCCTCTAGCGATCCTTTCATAAAAGATAGTGGACATGCTTTTCCTCATATTGGGCATACTGTTTGTTGCAGTCAGTATTTTTCCGATAATTTTCGGTCCATCACTAATTTGTCCATTTGACATTCACTGCGAAAACTGCAAGCTATCCAAATTGAATTTGTAAATTTGGCCGACAAACAGGCAAGTAGGCTTAAATGTTTTTACTATTATTTATGTAGCTTGTCTTCTGATTGTTCATTGGGCTCTACACTTAAACTAGACTCAAAGCTTAAAGCGCATATTGTGCTAAAGCTTTTCCTATTGACTTGGGTGAAACAACAGCAAGAAGCTGGTTTTTACCGTTTTTATATTTTTTTTTTTGTTGTTAGCAGGCTCTGCGATTTAAATGATGAAATTCTTCAAACACATATATTTCATCATATTTTAAACATAGTTCATCGCAGAATTGTGAATATTATATTATCCAAGTACAAATTTTCAGAAATATAGCAAGAGAGAGATTTTTGTTTGGGTCACTAGCCCGCCACGAGGGAAGTCAAGAATCAAAACTTCATTCTAAAGCACAACGAAGCAATACTCAAAGAACAAAGAACAAGGAACAATGATGACACACCCTTTAATTACCTGGGCATCGGTGGTTGCCCACGAACTGCCATCAAATGAATCTCGACCGAAACCAGTCTTGACACAAGCACCAATTGCGTCACCAGTACCAACACCAATTGCAACACCATCGGTATCTCCAATGGATAATGCTGTGCCGACTGTGTTTCAGGAACCAAATCCTCAACCTAAAAATCGACAACGAAGCTATCGACCAAATCGCTCTAGTGTCTACCGGTTGTACCAACAATTTCCGCCCCCAATGGGCTGGCAGACACTTGGTCCACCACCACCACCATTATTAGCTGGACCTGTTTACAACTTACCGTCGCAACGGACAATCGAACTCCAGAATATGATTTGGGATAGGGAACAGCAACAGCGGCGACTATTTAGGCCACCATTGTTGGCTTACCAGGATGCAACAGTCGGGCAGGAGGAACCAAAGTACGATACGGGCATCCAACAGGAGCGCGATGCTTACGCTCAGACACAGTGGCAGCCACTGAAATACTCCCGTCAAGTGTGGGATCCACTGGACATGAGCCAACGCAGCCAAGATCCTACCCGTCTGATCGGTGAGTAGACGAAAATACTCTTTTAATATTTCTTCGAAATTTCAATTGCAGGACCACCGCCTCCGGGCTTTGATCATGTGTTCTGCGGCAAGCGATCCTTGTCGATTCGCTCTCGCCAGCTGCTCGGCGAGCAGGTGAAAAGTGGTCCACCCACCGCATATCCAACACCACAACCAATGTTGACCACAGAGGAGGATCTGCGTGAACAGCATCATTTCTTAGGTGAGAGGCGTCATCCGATGATCCGCTTGCTTAACATTTATACTATCTTGATCTTATTTGCCATTTTGTCGTACATTTATATATATATATAATTTATATTTATATTTTATATACATATATACTCGTATATATATATATATATTCACATATATTCTTGAACAACATCGATAGAGCCATCTGTCTGTCTGTCTAAAGCTAATGAAACTTGGTAGACATTTGACTCTCAGCTGTCGGCAGTACATATTTTGGAGTCGGCCGGATCGGATACCTACATCATATAGCTGTTTTAGCAACCATCGATCGAAACATGAGTTTCTGTATTCTTTTCTCACTTGTTTAGCTTTGAATGCATTGCTGCCCATAGTTGATGGACAGAATGGAGTTGTGAATTATACAAATTCTTGATCAGATCGACGAGCTCAGTTGATTTGAACACATAGGTCCAAGCCCATCCGTCCGTCGACGTAATCTCAATTATCGAATGCAAATTTATAGCGTAAAAATACACCAGACATAAAAAGATAGTTTGTTGATAGATCACTTTCGACTAGAAAATCACTCTTAACTGTTTCAATCACTCACGATTCCGCAGCTGACAAAGACACACATTTAGTTAATCTTCTGGGCCAAGTGAGGGTCAGCAACGGTGGCACCGGAGATGGCCATTATGTTCGCGCAGTGCGCAAGTTGTTGCCAATGGCTGAGAGTATGTCACCAACTGGTTGTAGTATCAACTTTTTGGAAATGATGCGTCGCAATCAAAACAATCAAGCAAGACCATGTATTCAAAATCAGAATCAAAATCAAAATGAGAATACTCTCGTGACGGACAAAGACCAGGTACCAAATATGACAATGGATGATACTCCATGTCCAAAAGGTTCGCTAGACTAAAGCTAAGCCTATTCATATTAACAAATCAAAAGAAAATTAATTCTTAATAAATTTAGAGAATGTTGTCAAACAAATGTTTGACAATATTTTTACTACACCTATTGCATTTCATTTTCACAGATTAAACATTTTTCATACACAATTATGCATTAATATTCAATGTAGAGTTAAAGTGTAGGTAAAACCAGAAAACGAACTCGGTCCATTTCACAGTAATGAAAGTTTATTAAATACTTATGTATTGTTGTCAAAGTGTAAGTGAAGATGCCCGTGATGGTGTCGAGTTTTTTTTACATTCATTTAAATGCACAATTAAAATAAAAGCTTGTAGAAAACAAAAACTTAGTTTTTGTATCTGTACTGAAAGTCACTTGAAATACTGTTTTTATTTCAAAACGCAGACATTTTCAAGTGCAGAGCGACAAAGTAAGACAGTGGATGGAAGAGGGTTGGGGGGGTGGGGGGGGGGATAAAGGGACTAACGCACAAAGGACATTTGAAGCATATATAAATGAAATGAAATAAATTAAAATAAGTGTCGAAGCTAAGGCAGCCAAAAAGGACCAAAGGACTACAAATAGGAAAAACAGAAACAGAAAATAGAAAACAGTCATATGTGGAGTTCACATGGTACGCATAAGATTACTTACCACACACACACACGCATATGTAAATCGGTTGGGTTGGCGCTCTAATGTGTATGCATTTGTAAAGTTCGAGTATCCTTTATTTTTAATTTTTGCTGTTGTTGCTGCTGCTGTGTTTTTTGTTTATTTTTTTTGTTTTGTGCCTAGCAACCCGAAGAAAAAACAGCAGCATCAAGAGTAGAACAAAATTGCTGAGTGCGGAATAAGTGGGCGGAGCCGGGCAGCCATACTCGGACCTGAATCTCGAACCCCCGGACCCGGACTTGGTCTCGGGTCGAGCAAAGACAAATTCATGTTGCATTTGTAGCTTAAGGATATTATCGTAGCATCCTTTGTGCCCGAAGCTTTTTGTTTTACTTTTTGCATACTTTATTTTTTATATCCCGCGCCTGGTTTCAAAGTCTTTTGCAACAAAAACAAAACAAAAAAATGAGTACAAAAAAAACACAACTAGAGAGAAAGGGACCGAAACTGAACAGTAGGGAAAACTAAAAAGTAACACAAGAAATTACGAAATGCGAATGAACTTTCCACTGTGCTTTATCTCGAAATTTGAATACGCTGCTTTGGCAAAGCAGGTTAAAGAATTTCAGTTGAAAAAGTCATTCAGCAGTTCAGTTTATAATTTGTAAATTTTAAATAAGATATTACGGTAAACAGATAAACTAATTAACACACAAACTGATGGTTTTCTAGCTAAGAAACTATGAATTTATTTTTGTAGTTTGTTTTAACTCGATTTGTACAATTTTAATTCTGCTTGTATACAAATATTTTCTAAGTAATAATCAATTCTATTAATCATAATTATTATATACAAAATGGTTACGTTTTTAAAAATCAGTCAATACTTATAATGTTTCTAAATAAATAAATAAATGTAGTACCAAGATATATTGGAATACTGTAAAGGCTTCAAATTTTCTACGCTGATGTGCGTTGTTAGAGCAATGAATGGGTACAAGTGTACACACACACACACGCACACACACAGACATTGAAACGTATGCATAATGCATGTGGGCATGTAAATGCAAAATAAAACTGCGTTGCCCAACTGTGGCCGACCCGTATCCTGCCATATCCTGCCGTATGCTGCGCGCTCTGTCCAACCATCTATCTGTGTGCTGGCCATATCCATCAGTGACGTCGAGTCGAGGCTTTTAGTAATGTGCGAGCTTTAGATTTATTTGTAGTTAAGCACACAAAACAAAAAAAAAAATAGTCGAAAAACTCGAAAAACTCGAAAATC